CGTTTTAAGATTGGTTGATGAAGAAAATAATGTTGTTCGTCACTGTCTTCAGTTTCACAATGTTTTCATAAAACAGTTTCTTTCATTATGTTCAGATGCTATTTTTCATTTAAGGCCTAAAAAATAACTTTTGCCTTTTACTAGTCTTTTCAATCAAACACTCTAGGACAAATATTGCCAGCTCTTTTGAGTTTCTCTGTTAAAGTGGAAATAAACTGGCAGCATCGAATGAGCCCTTTCAAAGTGCAGCTTTTAATTTTGATTAAATTCTGTGATGATTCTAAAACTGGAGTCAGAGACTAGAATCTAAAAGCATTTAGGAAAATTGACTTAAAATACTAAGCATACTTTACCAGTGTTCTAGAATAATTAAAATAAACAAACATCTAAAAGCTAAATCCTCTTGACATTCATTTTTGTGTCCTCTGCTCAATACTTGATGTATGAAGTCATTCTCAGACGGACTGAAGGGGAAGGCATTGTTTGTGCCATAATCCCAGAGCTGTGTGAATTAATGCTGCTCTGTATTTCCTCAAGGAATGATCACATTCAGTTTACATTTATTGAGAATAGACCCTGGGAATGAATTATTTCTTCCTTATAAGGAGCCTTATGTTGGGCTATCTGTTGGGACAGTTTATCTCACTACTAAGTTGCTAGGGATAAAAGCATCACTGTTACAAGTAAAATGATAATGTGTAAGTAACTTCTTAAGATTAAATGTGTTGCAGTCATTTAGGTGGTTCAGAATTTTGAAGTCATGGAAGACTAGAGCAATAAGATTGTCTCACCTTTCCTCAGACTTAGCATTTGCAAAAAGTCAAAAGGAGAAAGTCTTGTCTCTGAGAGAACTCTAGATTTAATGTCTCTCTGGATTTGTTGTGACCTTGTTTAGATCTGAGTTGCAAAATTTATGAATACTCAAAGTAAAAGCAGTGTTCTCCTCACAAGTCTTTGCAAATGTTGTTGTGAAAGTATTATATTTCCCTAATATTGAAATAAAAGAATTTGATGAAAATACTGGGTATTAAAACATCTTTCTTTATTTATTCTCTCTTACATTACCCTTACATACACTTAATTGTGATAAAGTGGTTAAAAAAAAAGATTCCTCAAAACTTTATCTTCTAGTCAGACATTCTCCACCAAAAGTGGGATAGGCTTCTAGGGATAGAATTTATCAGGGGCAAAATGCCACTGCTTGTTCTACCAGCTTGTGTAGGAATACACATACACAGAAGGTGAAATGGGCTGGTGGCTTAAAAGGACACATTAGGGCACTGCCTTCTTGTGGATAAGCACCCTACATTAACAACTTCCCCTTTTTATCTTCTTGGGCTTTCTCCCTTTGAACTGCACTTTAGACTTTCTTGCATTGGACCAAGTAACTACCTTGCAGTATCAGGCCCAATAATTCTTGGGCAGAAACTCTGCATGAAGGACATGAAAATATCAATCTGATATTGTCACAAAGTAAAAGACACTGCTTTTAGCTTTTTGCTTTTACCAGTGTTTTGCTTTTTGCTTTTTGCTTTTAGCCCACAGCAAAGAAAGAGAAAGTATATAAACTAAAATTTTCTGAAGAGCATTTCCACGTGCTGAGTACTGGTAGAATGATTTTTAAAATGGCTTAAAAGAAAAAAAACCCAAACAAGTCAAAACTTTTCCTTCTCCCATTTCATGGATCACAGAATCATTTAGTTTAGAAAAGACTTCCAAGGTCATCAAGTCCTGTCTTTTGAATGATCACCACCATAGCACTGTGTGCCTGGTCCAGTCATTTCTTGAACACTTCTGAGGATGTTGACTCCACCACTTTACTGAGCAGTCTATCCCAATGTTTGACAGCCCCTCAGTGATGAAATTCTTTCTAATGTCCAACCTAAGCCTCTCCTGGTGCAGCTTGAGACTCTGCTCTTGTCTTGTCACTGGTTGACTGGGAGAAGAGCCTGACTCCACCTGGCTGCAATCTCTTTTCTGGCAGTTGTAGAAAGTGGTAAGGCCATCCCTGAGCCTTCTTTTCTCCAGGATAAACATCCCCAGCTCCCTCAGCCATTCAGGACTTATGCTCCAGACCCTTCCTCAGTTCTGCTGCCCTTCTCTGGACCTGCTGCAGCACTGCAATGTCCTTCCTGGACTGAGGGGCCCAGAATAGGATTTGAGGTGCAGCCCCACCAGTGCCCAGGACAGGGGGACAATCCCTGCCCTGCTCCTGCTGGCCACACTATTGCTGAGCCAGGCCAGGATGCCATTGGCCTTCTTGGCCACCTGGGCACAGCCTGGCTCATGTTCAGCTGCTGCCACCAGCACCCCCAGGTCCTTTCCAGCCACTCTGCCCCAGCCTGTGGCACTGTCTGGGGTTGGTGTGACCCAAGGGCAGGAGCCAGCACTGGGCCTTGTTGAACTTCACACCACTGGCCTCAGCCCATTGATCCAGCCTGTCCAGATCCCTCTGCAGAGCCTTCCTGCCCTCCAGCAGATCAATACTTACACACAACTTGTCATCCATGAATTTACTCAGAATACACTCAACCCGTACATCCAGATCATCAAAAAAGATGTTAAGTAGAACTGGCCCCATTACTAGCGCCATTCCCCACCACTCTCTGGGCCTGGCCAATCCAGCAAAGGGTGCACCTGTCCACTCCATGGGCTGCCAGCTGTTTCAGGAGAATACTGTGGGAGACAGAATCAAAGGCTTTGCTGAAGTTCAGGTAGGCTACATCCACAGCCTTTCCCTCATCCACTAGGCAGGTTACCTGGTCAGAAATAGAGATTAGTTTGGTCAGGCGGGACCTGCCTTTCCTAAACCTGTTCTGGGTGGGCCTGATCCATTGGTTATTCTGTGTGTACCATGTGATCATATTTAAGATGATCTGTTCCATAGTCTTGCTGGGTGCCGAGGCCAGGCTGACAGGCTGTAGTTGCCTGGATCTGACTTCCAGCCCTTTTTGTGGATGGACATCACACTGGCCAACCTCCAGTCATCTCTGACATCTCCAGACTTCCCTAATTAGCTAGGGCTGACTAAGAAGTCTGAGTCCAGACTAATGTGTGATGGCAATAGAGCTGAGCATAAAAGGGAACATCTTAATTACGCCAAAACGTGGAGCTCCTGCCTGTGTGCTATAGAGATGGGGTGCCTTTCAGTAGGATCCTTGCTGTGCTGTATCCTTGTCCCCAGCAGCACAGCCAAGGCAGGCAGTCTTAGGAAGAGAAAAGTATAGCTAAATATACAATGATTTCTTTGGGTGCCAATTTTCTGCAAACTTCTCAGCCTTCATTAATTATAACTGATGACCTGCAGAAAGTATGGAGAAGAAAGAAAGGGCTGAGATAGCTAAGCAACACTATAATGGTTGTTCCTGCCTTAACAACTGTCATTCTTTTAAAAAGCTCAGGTACAATACATGCTTCCTCTTAATTGTTTCCCCAGTGACTGTATTTAGCAAGCTGGGAAAATGAACTGGACTATGGTTTTTTGTTTTTTTTTTACTTATCTCTGTGCAAAATTTGGTTCCAACTGATACTTAAATTCTTAGTTTACAGGCATTTGAACAATATTGCAAACGTGTCTCTAGCTTTGCGGGGACTGGAACACCCAATCAAGATTTACAAACAACTATTTTGTTAGGTTGTATCAGAGATAAACTTAAAAGGTAGTTTTCTAAGTACAAGGGCTTCTGTATAGTTAAGACACCCTTTGAAATTAAGAGACACAGCTTTTTTTGGTCCTACAAAAGAATTACACTGTGCTGTCTTGTCATTCATTTGTCATACTGTACACTGAGGAATAGTTAATAAGGACCAAATCAAGGGATTTACATTCTGAAGGGTTTTTTCCCTTTTTTTTTTTTCACAGCACAGATTTTATCTTCTATTTGTAAAACCTGGGCATTTGTCCTAAAACTTTAGAAAGTATTTGAAATTTTGTAGCCCAAGTACTAATTAGAGTGGAGTGTACTTGTTTTGCCAGTCTATCTCTGCAACACTGACTGAGCTGTGGAATATTTCATCTATTCAGAGCAGTCAGCTTGCAAGGCTAAACACAGCTTACTAACATATACTTTGGGTGACGTTAATATACTTTCTATTTTATTTTGTATCCCAGCTGAAAGTATTTTCATTGTCTGGTTGCCTGTTTCTATCCCTTCTTTTTCTTTCCCATCTTCCTTTGACTGTGTTTTGCTGTTGCCTGTCCATTGTACACTCTGTCTCTATTAAAAGACAAAATGGGTAAATTTTCCAACCACTTACCTTCCTTCTTCATATGCTTCTTGACCTGCAGTCTTGGAAACTGTACCAGAGCTAATATGTCAAGCTAAGCCTTGTAATCAAATTTGGAAGATGGAGATATTCTATGGTTAGAGCCTGCAGTAAAATTTTGTCAGAGAAACCAGTACTTCCTTTTACTTCACTGCCTTCAAAGGCTTCACTGGAATACCTTTCTTAGAGCAGGGATTTAATTTTTTTCTACTGGTCTGTGACAAGACAACATCTAACTTTTGAAGTTGCTCTGAATAACAACATCTAATTTTTGAAGTTGCTTTGAATAGAAAGGGAGAACTTTTTTTTTTTTCTTTCTTCTTTTTCTTTTTCTTTTTTTTTTTCTTTCTTTTTTTTTTTCTGCTCCAGGGATTAAGATGAGCTGAGAGATACACCTGTGCTGCACTTGGACACTTGGAATAATAGTGCACTGAAAAGGAAAGGACCCTTGGTAATTACTATGTCCCTATGCTTCTTTGCTTTAAATAATTATTCAGGATTAATGGGACAGCTGTCCTACTGCTAGACACTGTCCTCTGCTGGGCTGTATTCAGATCCTTCAGGGATATAGATGCAGATGCTGTGTATGGTGTGGTTCGAACACTGCAGGACATACTGAGTCAGTGACTGCAAGCTTAGATGTTATCCTACAGATGTTATGATCCATGAGCAGGAGGGGTGGAAATCTCTGCTGGTGTTTCATGTAAAATGTATTTTCTAGTGGTTCCAAAAGTGGAGCTTCTGGGCAAGGACAGGTATACTAAGCCTCTGAATTCCTCCAGTTGTAGTAAAGGTCTGGTGTCACATTACTGTTCAACCAGCCTAAGAAGACAGAAGACTATCTCTAAGAAGAACATTCTCCTAACCCAGAATTGCTTCCCAGTCAGTAATTTTAATATATAATTCTGAGAGCTTTGTTACAGACAGCACAAAAATAATTTTGTTCTTGTGGTTTCAGTGGTTCTGAGAAGCAACAGCAACACATCCTGAGGATGGTTTTCACCACATTTGGGACAACGGCTCGGGCACCAGAGTTCACCATGGGCACACTTGGACGACCAGGTTTGCACCCTGCTCTGATTTTCAATTTATCTCTGCAAGCATAAAGTCTTTGATTTTTTAAAACAAAAATTTGCTTGCTGCAATTGAATGGCTGGTTTTGAAGCTCACTAGAAAAGCTAGAGGTCTTTTCTTTAAAAAGGAAACAAGAAATCACTAGGATATGAGGAGTGGAATAACTGAGGAAGGGAAGGGCAGAACTAAAGTGAATATGATTTGAGGGATAAATGTAAAAACACAGTTTCTTGCCAGCTCCACCCTCTAAATGGTATTTACCACCAGGAAAATTGGATCCACCCTGGATTGATTGTTGCATCAGGAAAATCCTCCATAAATAGCTCTGAGCCTTACAAAAGCTGCAGTTTTCTCTTCCAATAATTGATACTGTGGTGACAACTTCCACCTGCTACTCATGAGTCACAGTCACCACATCTGCTAAGGGGAAGAAGGCAACTTTTTCCCTTTCCTCAGAATGTGTTGTCTTGTCTGCAGTGGTGGTCCTAGGAGTGAAAAATTGCTACTAAGTTTGAGCACTTCTTAGAAGGCATGGTGTCCCCTAGACGACTGTTTGGAAACAAAACCTGCAATCTCTGCTTACTCAGAGTTTAAGAAATGTAAATGAAGAGGAACCACTTTAAGAGTACCTGGGGATTGTTGGTCTAAATTGCATTATTGCCAGTGAATGAGGGTTTATTCCATACTGTTTACTAAATGAAGAGTATAACCATGGCAACAACAAGGATGTAAGGATCTGCCAACGCAATTCTGAAATTAGCGTTCAGAAGGCAACTGTCTAAAAGTAGCTTGAGAACTGAAAAATAATATTTCAGACTACAGTCCGTATGGGAATACACAGTATCTGCAGCATGAAAATTATGCAAAATTTACCAGTTCAGCTTATGCTGATCTCTGAAAGAATATTTGTGGTGTCATTTATATAGTTCTTACTTTGATGAGTGAAAGCATAATGGTATAAATACTAATATCCAGTGGTAATTCAGACCACATAGTAGCTATAATTTTGTGTGAAGTATACCTAAAAAATACAAATGCTACTAGCCTTTTATGATCAACAGTGTCCTGGGATGACTTTATGATACTGGTATCCCCAATTTGCATTTGCAGTAATGCAAAGATTGTCAAAATCTTTTTTCCAAGTTTACTGGGGGAAAAAAGTAAAGAATGGCAATTGTTAGACAAGATGAAGGTTCTACTTTCTGCATATAAAAAATAAATTTTTGGGGTGATTGGGAAATAAGGTGAGTAATATAAAAGGAAGTTCTAGATCTGAGTTAGTCCCCTGCTATCCCAGTTAAACTTAGTCTAATAAATACTTTTCATTGTCGCATGTTGTGATGTTCTTGCAGGCATCCTTTATGCAGGAAGTTGTGGTCTGGCAGAATGAAGGCTGATTGAATTATAGCTTGCTTCTTCATGTCTCTCTACAGGTCACTGCTTTCTGGAAAAAGCAGAGTAAACATAACTACACCTTTGTCATTGAGTCATGCCAGCTTTTGTAAGTAATGCTTGCAATTGCAATGAACAAAAATAATTATCTGGTTACTCTGCATGCACTTTCATCAGTGGTTAACATCACTATTTTTGTTTAAATTTATCTCTTCTTTTGTGTGCATCTGCCACTTAGCAGGACAGACATATTTATATAAATATATTCCACAAACTGTTTAGGAAATGTGTAGGAAAATGCAGAACTGCAGAGCTAACTTCTAAAAGTTGGCTAGACTTTAAGATGACTCTGCCCTCTCAACAGATGCTCAGAACAGTGACAGCTCTTTATTGCTACAACATACCATCTTGGGATAACACATCAGCTAGTCTGGAAATTTGAAATATTTTATGTTTTGCTACTTCATATAAGACTGAGGTGCTGATGACAGTTACATCTGCAAAGAACACAGTAAAAACAGCTGTCATTCATCATCATTCATGTCCATTGCTACTCTCATAGGTAAATGTTGTATATTTAGGAAATGTTAAGTTATGATGATGAAATGATGAAAATAATGCTAGTAAAAAACCTGACCTGATCTCTGGCTGCTCAGACAATCTCTCTATATTTTTCCCAGGGTACCTGGCCTTTATTTCACCCTCAGTAGGCTTCCTTTTGTGGTTTGGTTTGTTTAGGAGCAAGTTGTTCATCCATGCAGGTCTCCCAGTACTTTTATCCAACTTCTTTTTGTTGGGATGCATTGCTCCTGCCTTGGAGGACCTTGACCTTTGAAGATTAACCAGCTTTCTTCCCCTCTTCCCTCCAGGATTCTATGCCCTAGTACTCTGCCAAGCAGACCAAAGTCTGAAGAGGCCAGTCTGCTCTTCTGGAGACCAGGGTAGTGAGCTTCTTGTGTGTCCTCATTCAAATTCCACCATTTCATGATCACTACTTCCCAGGCTGTGCTTGAGCTTCACATTCCCCACCAGTCTCTTCTTGTCAGCAAGAACATAGTCCAGCATAGCACCTCTGTCATTGGTTCCCCTGTCACTTGGAGAAGGAGGTTATGATCAGTGCATCCCAGGAGCCTCCTGGATTGCCTGTGCCTGGCTTTGTTGTTCCTCCAACCAATATTGTGGTGGTTGAAGTCACTCATAAAGACTAGAGCTTGTGAATGCCCTGGTGTGTTTGAAGCATCTGGGGAAATCCCAAAATTGTATCATTTCCCAAAATGAGAAAATACATTCTATTCTAGCAATAACTCAGTAGTGTGTTAGCCATCAAAGCTAATTTTAAAATAACACATTCAATTTTAAAATACTGAGTAACTATGAGCCAAAACCAGAGCAATAAATGGAGGATCCTAACTGAGCAAGTATATTCATATTGGAGTTATTTTAGGAATTATTTTTTGCTATGTGTTATTTAATTCTTGTTTTAAATGTCATCAACATTGCACAAAATTATTAATGATACTCACAGATGACCCAAAAGATTTGAGATATAATAAACAAAGATAGGTCATTGATACACACCAGATGGCTTTAATAAATTGGGGGCAAACAGACAAGTGTTTTGTTGGTAACTATTAAAGTAAAACATTTGTGAACAGAGAAATCAGCATGTCCTTTTTACTCTTATATTTATGACCTTTACATTTAGTGTGCCCATCTAATTCTAGATCTTCAGAACAGAGAAAACCAAATATGGAGCCATTGAAGGCCAGCTGAACAAGTTGTTCTAGAAGTGAATTTCTCTAATAAACAGCCTTTTATTTTAGGTGAATCTAAGCCTCTAATTTGTTGTCTTGCATTTCCTTGTATATTTTGGCTCTGATCATCTCTAGAGTGCTCTGTTATATTGCATGCTTATGGAATTTTATTTTGGCATCTCAGAGTTATGCTAAAATATCCCCATGGTATAAATTTACTCTACTTCTGAAATTGATTTTTGAAATTTGATAAAAAAGTATTTCTGAATATGCCTTACACCTTAGATTCATCACTACTTTGTTACCCTTTCTCTGCCTAGCATACAAATGTATTTGTACAGCTGTAACTAAAAAGGGAATAAAACCAAGTCTACTGACAATTCCCTTAGTCTAATCATCAGTCATGTTATTGCAAAGTTAATGCTGCTGTTGCCTTTCTCATCTTCAGAAATCTGTGTTTCGCTGGACCTAAGAAGAACTGAAAATAATGGTTTTCTTCTTTTTTTTTTCTGGTCACAAGTTATTATTTGGGGATTTGGAGGAGGAATGAAGAGATGCAGAAAGATTTGTCAAGACAGGTAACAATGAATGTACTCTTAAATACAGTGCTTTAGTCAAAATGCTTTGTGTAATTCTTTGCTATACTAAACAAAATCTTTAGGGGTTGCATAGACAATAGTAGTTATATGTTTGCACTGATTTTTTTTTTTTTTAATTTGCTTTTTGCAGTTCAGGATTCAAGAATACTTAAAAAGGAAAGGCTGAGAGAAAAGCTAGGAAAGTCATTGATTCACATGGCACGATACAAGGAAGTTTCTCCTCTTTATCAAGCAAAACCATGTATTGACTGCAGTCCAAAAGTATTTGCAATGAAATAGAAACTTGATACCTGGCTTCTCCATCTAGCTGACACACATAAGAGGATGTGATTGCTGAATTTTAGAAGCTGAACAAAATCAGACTGGAACTGACTGGTACTATTTTCCCTAAATACAGATCAGTTAACTACTGAAACAAAGTAAATTATAATGGGCTTTCCATCTCTAGTTTTAACCTCAAGAAATATCTGTCTTAAAATAGGTATTGAAGCTCAACTCAGCAATAGTTCAGGACAGCACAGAGACAAAAATGTTTTGTCTTCTATGACAAAACAGATCAGCCCAGTGGATGGTCAAAGTGGTTGTTCTAGCCTTATCTTTAATGGGGAGAAAAGTTGTCTTGGTTCTTCCTTCAGCTCTTCTATGAGTTTACTTCGTGATCCATATTTTTGCCTCTGTGGAGGCTACTATTTGTAATGGAGCTTCAGGGCAGCTGCAGCTATTTAAGAAAGGACATAATCATTTCTAAATGGTGTAGTGTGGCAAGGGATCCAGGCTGCATAAGAATCTATTCTAAAGATGTCCATGGAAGAGAGCCAGCCACACATGGAATTTTAGCACTCCTTTGTTCTGTTTATTCCAGTTTCTCAGCAATAGTCTTCTGCATTAATATTTTATCCGGTGATTCTGCATCACTATATGTTTGTGGTCATATACAGAAGGTGGAATACCATTCTGGATTAACAGTTTAAGACCCTTTATTTACTTATCTTGTATGCCTGTATGATTTTAAATGCAGTGAAGGGTATGTACATCCTGACACTTGTTTTTTAGGTTATCCAAAACTTCTGATGTGCAATTCGTCTTTTGTTTGTAAAGTGGTATTTTGTCCTTTGAATGAAAAGTGCAGAAGTAATTAGCAACATTACCTTATCATTATTTACAGCAAGTCAGTTCCCTCTTTGTGCACAGAAAACTAAAATTGCATCCTTCCTTGGCTGAAAACTTCCTTTCTGCAAGCAATAAAAGATGCAATATCCCTTACAGTGGCTAGTTCAGCTTTCTTGCAGCTTGGGGCAAAACCACATTGGCAGAAGGACAATGTCTTGTTTCTGATGTCTGTGAAGCTTCTCTGAACTGACCTGAATATGAACTTATACAAAAGGGACCTCTGTGTAGTGACAAGAACTTGAAAACAGGGTATAATTACATAAGAAATTTAAAATAAGTTGAGAAGCATGTTTCAATGAGATTGGCATTCCAAGTAGTCCCTAGCAAGAATTGAATATTTGTTTCTCTGTTGTCACTCATTTTTCTTTATGACTGATCATCTGAATTTTTGTGTTAAATTTTCTCCAGGCTGAAACCTTATGCATGATAGCAGTTCCTGTCAGCAGACCTTTGGTACAAAGTTGGCCTTGGTGTCCTATACAAGTCTCCTGACTTCTTTAACTACTTAGATACTGGTAAAAAAGGGATTTGTTTAAAAAAAATAAATTTACAAAAAGACATCAAAAATGATGGTTTTTTTTTGTCTCATGTTGAAGAAGCTAATAAAGTGCATAATCTGAAGAATTCAAGAGAAGGAAGAACCATAGTAGTGTCACTAGTAACACTTCCACATTGGTAAGACTGGTGACCTCCTCATTGCAGCTTTGACCAGGAGGGAGCTGAGCTCATTGTTGCTATTGATATCAGTAGCTTCAGAGCTTAGCCTCTATTCAGATGAAGCTAGTTTCTCACTGAGCCCCTAAACATAATTTTGCATTTGAAGAGATTATTTTTTTCTCTTTTAGAAGTAGTTTTTTCTAATCAGATTTCCTTGCACATCCTTTGTAGTTTCACCAGTTGACGCTCATTGAAAGGTATCTGTGATGTCTAACTCCTTCCTAATCATCTTCACATCAGAGTAGCTGTTTGATTGTACTTAAACTACTCTGGGAATCCATAGTAAGCATTGTGCTTTAACCCCAGCCAGCCACCAAGCCTTAGGCAGCTACTTACTCACTGCTCCACTAGCAGGATCAGGCAAAGAATCAGAAGGATAAAAGAGAGAGCTCATGGGTTGAGGTACAGACAGTTTAATAGGGAAAGCAAAACCTGCACATGCAGCAAAGCAAAACAAGGAATTCATTCACTGCTTCCCATGGCCAGGCAGGTGCTCAGCCATCTCCCGGAGAGCAAGGCCCAATACACCTAATGGTGACTTGGGAAGACAAATACCAGCGCTCCAAATGTCCCCCTTTCCTCCTTCTTCCCCCCACTTTGTATACTGAGCATGATGTCACATGGTCTGGAATATCCCTCTGCTCAGTTGGGGTCACCTGTCCAGGCTGTCGTCTCCTCCCAACCTCCCAGGCACTCCCAACTTCCCTGTCAGCATGGCAATATGAAAAGGAGAAAAGGCCTTGGCTCTGTGTAAGCTCTGCTGAGCAATAAGAAAGAAATCTCTGTTATGAACTCTATGTTCAGCACAATTCCAAAACACAGTCCCATACCAGCTACTGTGAAGAAAATTAACTCTACCCCAGACAAAACCAGCACGATAAGTGAAATCATCAGAATATTCCCAATGTCTTATGGTCTGAAACTCTGGGGTGAGTGTTCCTACGTTTCTATGCCTTGGGAACTCCATTGCTGTATTGAAATGCTTTTAAGATTGAGATGCTTCTAAGAATCATCTTTAATTTTACATCTATGTGTCTCCTCCCTGGCAAAAACTCTGCCAGACCACTCTCACTGACACAGGAGGTTCCAAAGTACAACATTATGAGTTGATAGCTTGGTATTTCACACCTCCAGGCTGAATTTTACCTTCTCCTACTAAAGTCTTGCATCTCAGATGCTATTCTTTGAGTTGCAATAAAGTCACAAGGAGAAACCTTGCAAAGCAGCAGGACATTTGCTGGTCTGTTCACAACTGCACTTGACCATCATATACTCTTTTTTTATGAGCATCAGAAGAAAAACCATTTTATCTGTGGTTTTGGGGAAAGGAGGCAAAGCCTTTTCCATCCTCCTTTCTCCAGTTTTACTTTCTGCCTTTAGACTGAAGGAGGTTCCTCTTCTGAAAGAGCCTAAGTCTCTTTGACTTGAGATGAGGTTTTCCTGGGATACACACCAGAGTAGAAGCCTAACTGCTCTTCTAGACTGAAAGTATTCCTTGCTGAGGTGGTCTTGAAGTCTGTTTCTACTCCACAGATATAATCTTGTTCCTGCTACAAAATGGTGAGTCTAATTTACACTTTAAATTACAATTAAATCATATCCACAAGTTGTCAGGTATTCCCCAGACTATCACACCTTTCTTTTAACATATGGACTGACTGACACAATCACATCAAATGTTTTTCCAGACAGTTTGCTATCTCCATTAGGCAACATTTCTCATTTAATATTCCTTTAGTAAGTCTGTATCTCCAATGGCAATTTAATTTTCATTATCATCTGATGTAAATTATCATAGTTTCAGTAGACTTCAATGGTTTGATGATCTATGCCATCTGAGATTCTGCATCTGAAAACTCTTTAACAAAAGCAGCTGCTACTTTTAACTAATTTGAGAAACGGTAAGTAACTGTCTGAATCTAGCTATCTTAATACATATTACTCAACTGCCAGCACACCCCACATACATGAGATTAAAAGTCCTTTGCCTTGCATCTGAGTAAATGGGATTATGTCCATCATTTTGACAAAAATTAAAGTTGAATAGAGTCTGCCATAGTCTTTTACAGCAACTTTTTCAGGAAGACCCAAAAGCCCACACTGTTATCAGCAAAGCATGTGAGTTTGGCTCTGCTAGAAGCTACAGTTACCTTTATACTGACCATGAACATTACATATATTACGTATATGCAATTTTTAGACAGCTGAGTTTTTCACTTTAATGTGTTTTAGTTTTGGTTTCTGTGCTCATCCTCAAGCCATATGAACATTACTCAGAGTTTAAGTTTGAATAAAATATCAGTTTGAACTTGTAAAGAATATGAGATTGTATGGATATAAACTATTTCCATCAAGACTATGATAACACTTTTTAGTGTTTCATAAAGACATGGTCTGGGACCTATTCAGAGGAATGGATCTCTTATTTCTTCAGAGCTGCATCCAGCTCTGGAGTCACTAGCACCAAATTCTTCTGGACAAAATATCCAGCCCACAGCTGGGCAAACACATCATTTGACAGGTGAGCAGCTGTCTCATGGCTGAGCATAGAGGGTTACAGTGACTGGGGTGACATCAGACTGGGAACCTGTCACTGGTAGGGTTCCACAGGGTTCCATCCTTGGCCCTGAGCTCTTCAACAGCTTCATACATTACTTAGATGCAGAATTGTAAGGGATGCTAACCAAGTTTGCAGGTGATACAAAACTGGGAAGAGCTGTTGACTCCCTCAAGGGCTGGATGGCTCTGCAGAGAGACCTTGAAAAATCAGAGGGCTGGGCAGCCACCAGCCATATGAAGTTCAAGAGTAAAGGAAAGTGCCGGGTTATGCACCTGGGATGGGACAACCCTGGATTTACAGACAGACGGGAATGAGAGGCTGGAGAGCAGTGCCATGGCAAGAGTCCTGGGAGTCCTGGTCCATGGCAAGTTGAATGTGAGCCAGCAGTGCCCTGGCAGCCAGGAGGGCCACCTGTGTCCTGGGAGCATCAGGGACAGCATCGCCAGCCGGGCAAGGGAGGGGATTGTCCTGCTCTGCTCTGCTCTGGGGCAGCCTCACCTCGAGGGCTGGGGGCAGTTCTGGGTGCCAGTAC